CCATTATTATGAAAACGGCATTTGTCTACATATCCTGCCTGCCCCTCTGCCTGGAGGGACCTGAGTGTTTGCAGTTGCCTGAACAGAAGACACTGTCTGGAGACAGCTTGGCCTGCTGGGACAGCCCCTGGCACATCATCTACTGGATCACTGCTTTATCCTCTCTCCACCCAAGCCTTGGGGAATTGCTTCTTCCATCCCAGCACCTGGGATCCAAAAAAAATGGCTCAAGAGATGGAGTCAAATCTGGGCATTGGACAAGGGTCCTGAGTGTGGCAGACAGTCCTCCAAGATAACTTGGCAAGTCAGGGCTGCAGCTGGGACTCAGAACCCAGCCTCCTTAGGTAGTAGGTAGTAGATTCACTGTTATAAATCAGTGTAAGGGCTATAAATATCTTTTGGTCTTGGTGCACACTTTTTCAGGATGGGTTGAGGCCTACCCAACCCTTACAGAAAAGGCAACAGAGGTATATACAGTGTTATTAAGAGAAATCATACCTTGCTTTGGTGTTCTCCTGAGCCTCCAAAGTCATAATGGGCTGGCTTTTACAGCTGAAGTAAGCCAAGGACTATCAAAGCCTTGGGGATAGACTACGATTTACATCCCGCCTGGCACCCTCAGGCATCAGGTAAGGTTGAAAGGACCAACCGAACTCTAAAAAGAACTCTAGCCAGACTATGTCAAGAAAACCCAAACAGGCTGGGCGTCGTGGCTCACGCCTGTAATCCTAGCACTCCGGGAGTCCGAGGCGGGTGGATCGTTTGAGCTCAGGAGTTCGAGGTCAGCCTGAGCAAGAGCGAGACCCCGTCTCTACTAAAAATTGGAAGAATTAGCCGGGCATGGTGGCGCATGCCTGTAGTCCCAGCTACTCGGGAGGCTGAGGCAGAAGGATCGCTTGAGCCCAGGAGTTTGAGGTTGCTGTGAGCTAGGCTGACGCCATGGCACTCACTCTAGCCCGGGCAACAGAGCGAGACTCTGTCTCAAAAAAAAAAAAAAGAAAACCCAAACAAACTAGGTTCAAAACCTTCCTATTTCCTTGATGAGAATCGTGTCTCTCCCAAGGAGGCATTAAAGCTTAGCCCTTTTGAAATCTCATATGGCCAGCCTTTCCAAGTACAGGTCATTAGAGAATACAGTGAAGCTAGTTATCTTCTAAAACATATTATAAATTTAGGAAGGTACAAAAGGCCGTGTTAGACTGTGGGCAACAAGTTATACCTGGCCCTCAAAGAAGGGAAAATTACCTCCCCCATCCAACCTGGAGACTGGGTATTACTAAAAGATTGGAAATAAAGGGGTCCACTGACTCAGAGCCACTGTGGACAGGCCCCCAGAAGGTTCTCTTATCCACCCCTCAGGGGTCCAACCAAAGGGGATCAAGAGCTGGGTACACATCTCAAGGATCAAACTGGTGGACGCCCAAGACCCAAAGGCCAGCAAAATATTGACACAGCAGATGCACATAGCATGAGCCAACTGAAGGGCTAAAGCTCCTCTTTAAGAAGGTGAAATAATCAGGTCTTACGGGTAATGTCACTGCCGATATTGAAAGATCCTTACATATATTGCTTGGCTTCTCTTATATTAGCCCTTGCTGGGAGTCTTCTCATACTCGATATACTGCGCCATGTGGGAAAAATTCTGTGTTGGCAAATTTTTAAGCTCTCATAACCCTATACCATGGTTTTACCCTTAGTTATGCTTCTTCCCTTATTAACAATCCTACTTTCTACATTTTCAGCCCCAGGCCTAAGACTGTACCCCTATTTACCCATGGTGGAGGAGGTCCTCTCATTGCTCCAGCAGTCTAAACAGGGCAAAGAAAAATACTCCAACTGTTGGATACGTGCTAGAAGGGGGCTTGTTGCCATTCCAGTCCTACCTTCTGAGTGTAATCAGCTAGAATGACATGTAATCCCCTCATATTCCAATCACCCTGGGTGGGCCATAAACCCAAGGGTCCGACCCACGGTAAATAAAATCCTCTTAAGTTCTCTGCATAACAGAGCTAACCTTAACCTCCAAGGAGCCATCTTTTCTTCAGTTACACCTGTGCAACAAGTCCCCCATGTCTGACAGCTCTGCTCACTCTGGGCCCTCTGTGGGAGACTTTCACAGCCATTCACAAGCTTGCAACCACAGCTGTCATCTGTCTACCCACTGCACTGAGCCACGGTACGGGAATCTGTCGATACTGCTCCTTTTTATGCTCTTTCCCTTCCTAAGGCCAACAATATCACCACTGACTGGACTACAACAAGCTATTCAGGAACCAGCGTCTGTCCCCCACCTCCAAGTTCATGCCCCTTTAAGTGGCATAATTTTTGGTTCCAACCCCATCATATTAACAGAAACGGCTACAAGAATCTAGATGATGGTAATCAGGGCCACAAATAGGATAGAATCCTACAATGCCTTCCTTCAGGTCTCCTCTACTTGCAGGGGTTGACCCGTTCCTTCTCTGGAATGTACTATGCTTTAATAAACTTTGGCACTTTGCTTGCTTGCAAAAAAAAATTCCCTCCTTCAACTGGGCATTTAACAGATCCAGAATCCCACCTAACAGGGCTTGTCTACCCCCGTTGGCTGGAATAACTACAGCTTCTACTTATGAAGGTATAGAATGCTCTAACCAGTGCAGTAGCCACCTTGGAAAATCTTTTTTTTTTTTTTTTTGAGACAGAGTCTCACTCTTTTGCCCGGGCTTAGTGCCTTGGCGTCAGCCTAGCTCACAGCAACCTCAAACTCCTGGGCTCGAGCGATCCTCCTGCCTCAGCCTCCCGAGTAGCTGGGACTATACAGGCATGTGCGACCATGCCCGGCTAATTTTTTCTATATATTTTTAGTTGTCTGATTAATTTCTTTCTATTTTTAGTAGAGACGGGGTCTTGCTCTTGCTCAGTCTGGTTTCGAACTCCTGAGCTCAAACGATTCGCCTACCTTGGCCTCCCAGAGTGCTAGGATTACAGGCGTGAGCCACTGCGCCCGGCTGGAAAATCTTACTTTAATATATCCATAGATATCTGTCTCAATCCGAAAAATCAGACTTACTCTCTCTGTGGCTCAAATGCTTATCATGTCTCCCAGCAAATTGGACAGGAACATGCACTTTAGTGACTATAATTCCACATTTGTCCCTTATCACTGATTCAGTGCCACTTCCCCTATCCACCTCCAATTACAGAACCAAACGTGGGGCAGTGATGGTCTTGGCAGTCCTGGGGAGTATCACAGGAATCGGGACCAAAACCAGGGGTCTCCTGAATTCAGTCTTTGCAGCTCAAAGGCTCTCCCTGGAGATCAGTCAATTAGTCACAGACCTGGCAGTACAAATTAACACCCTTCAGGAACAAACCACTTCCTTAGCAGGGGTTGTGTTACAAAACAGAAGAGCTATAGACCTCCTTACAGCCAACCAAAGAGGCACGTGTGCCTTCTTAGGTGAAGATTGTTGTTTCTTTGTCAATCAATCTGGAAAAGTACAAACTAATTTACAAAATATTCTCAAGAAGGCTAACAACCTTCAGGAACAAGGAAATTCTGGGGATTCAACTGGTGGAATTTTAAATCAAATGTATGGTCCTAGTTTTCTTGGTTGACACTTCTCCTAGGACCTCTGGCAGCCTTACTGCTATTGCACATTTTTGGGCCTTGCCTGTTTGACATCTTGGTGAAGTTTGTCTCTTCTAGGTTATAACAGTTCTGTTACAAGGCCATGATCTGTGGGGATACTGAGGCCCTCCCAATGAACGCTTTGGACCTCCATGCCTCCACTTTCAGATCTCAGGAGCAGAATGTCTAGGGACAGGTCAGAAGAGAGACAAGAGGAGGCCCCTAGGGATGACACCCCTTTTCAGCAGGAAGCAATTATAGAAGCCTGATCATCTGTCCCTTTTCCCTGAAAGAATTCAGGCCCATTTATCTCTCAGGAGGGAATGTTTGGGACAGGTGCAGGTTGGCAGCGTTAACCACAGGAAAAAAGGAGGGGGCAAAAATGAGGAGGCCAATGAGCATTTAGAACCTAACCTGCAATGACACGAACTTGCAGTTAGGGACTTTTCCTGGCCAGGAGCATTGTAGAACTTAGGAGCTCATGTCCAAAGGTGACCTTTTCTCCATTAACAGACATTAGCATAGTAAAAATCACACCCCTCAGCGCCATGACAGTGTACAACCCCTGGAAGTTACCCTATAAGGATAAAGTTGGGGAGGGCCCTTAGCTCTAAGAACTCTCCATCCTTTCCCCAGGAAAAAAATGAGTATTCTTCCACCCACCTTTTAGCATATTACAAAGTGCAGACATAACAATAGAGGTGGGGTAAGACCCCAGGGGTGCTTCCCCTCAGGAAGCGTCCTTTCGCTTTCTATTTCTGTGCTAAAAAATGCCTGCAATACAAGCTGCTTGTGTGGAAGTGTTAAGTGTCTGTCATCACTGGGTGGCACCTGCCCTGCTTGGTATTAAGCTAGGAGCCAAAGAACCAAGACGACACCCTTCTAAAATCAACCCTGACAAGAGATGGAGTCAAACCCAGTCACTGGACAGGGGTCCTGAGTGTGGCCGACAGTCCTGCAAGATAATTTGGTAAGTGAGGGCTGGAGCTGGGACCCAGAACTCAGCCTCCATAGGTGAGTCTCAGTATTCACAGGAAAGGAATAAAAGGTAATGAGATGCTCCCTGAGGCCAGGGGTGCTAAAGCCTCTCTTCCTCCCCGCTGACTGAGGGGCGGGCAGGACAGATCCAGCAAGGAGGCAGCTGCCCCAGCCTGGATCTTCGATGCCTCAGCCTACCTTCTCTGGCTTCAGGGATTCTGTTTGTTATGGGAAGAGCAATGGCTCAGGCCGGACTGGGCAGAGGCCAGTGTCTCTGAGCCTTGAAGAGATGTCCAGAAATAGACGGGGGAGCGTCACATTTCTGAGCAGCTGTGCCAGGGAGGCACACGGGGTGGGGATCGACAGTGTGAAAGAGAAACCTGTCCTGCCACTCCCCTGCTGACCACCATGGAGATCCACACCAGCCTCCCCACCCTTGACAAGGCCTAGGTAAGGAGCACACCACCCTCCTCCCGGACACCAGGCAGGAAAAGAGTTTTTTGAGGTGAAATTCGGGGAATTAGTGGTGGAGTTTTAGGAGTCATGACAAAAAGTTTCAGGGAAACTTTGATGGAAAGGTTTGGGGACACCTAGGGTTTGGGGCCACTGGGAAGTTTGGGATTCCTGGGGAGATTTGGGGTCACATGCCCAGAAGGGAATGTTTCAGAGCCCGGATGAGGGAAAACTGACAAGAGAACTGCCCTGAGCAGGACAAAAGGACAGAAGGGCAGCTCCTGTGGGCTGTGCAAGGGGATTGGCCAGCGTCTCCGCTCCCTCACCCCACACCCACCCGTCACTCTGGCCTCCCCCCCACCTCCCTGACACTGCTCACCGCGGTCAGCAAGCCGCCTGCTCTGCAGTGGTCCACATCGCTATCTGTGCTCAACATTCTGGGGGCCTCACTGGGCCTGGCCTGGGACCAAGCGCTGGGGACAGAATGGCTCATATTTGGTCCCTGCCCTCAAGGAACTAATGGGCCAGAAGGGGAGACAGGCACACAAAAGGGCAGCACGGTGTGACAAGGACAGTGACAGAGGACAGCACAGGGTGATGTGGGAGCCCAGAGGACTCAGGGGGCCTCCTGGAGACGACCCCTGAGCTAAGCCCTGAAGAGTGGGTGGCCAGGAGAAGGGCATCCCACGGGCAGGGTGTGCAGAGCCACAGGGAGGGAAGCAAGGGAGCCCCGCCTGGAACTCCGTTCTGTGCTGCAGAAGCCAGGCAGGGGTGGCGGCACAAGGCTGAAGAGCTCATGGAGGGCCAGGTCACAGAGGGCCTTGAAGGCCAGAATAAGGACATTGGACTCTGTCCTAAGGATATGTAGGGATGTTTTGTTTTGGTTTTTTGCAATTTTTTTTCCTAGATGTGTTCTCATCTCTTCCTTCGTAATTGTCATCTGTTGAGTTTTCACTCTGTATCTTGAGATATTTCTTCCAGTCACTTTTGGCACAGAGGGCTTTTAAACAGGCCAGGAACATGATGGAAACACTGTTCTCCCTGCTCCCTGGCAGGTGGGTTAGCAGGGGTGACAGTGGAGGTGGGGAGATTGGCGAGGAGACAGGTGCACCCCTGAGCCAGGGCAAGGGCTGTGGGAGTGGGGAAAGGGAAGGAGAATCCTGGGACCTAGCATTAGTTAGCAAGTGTGTGAATGTGCGAATGGTTGAATGAATGGATACCCAGGTGACCATCATGGGTGACTGGGGGAATAATGAAGATGGTATATCACGTGAGACTCTTGTGATGGCAAGTTAACAGAAATCATCCTGAGCTAGATTAAGCCTAATGAGGAATTTATCATGAGGATACCAGGGTATCTCACAGAGCGCAAGGGCCAGAAGCAACCAGCCTCTAGGAACTGAGGAGCCCCGCTCCGCCTGAGCTCTGGCTTCATCCTTCCAGCTTTTCAACCCTCTCTTTCCTCTCTCCCTGGGGACCTCATCCCTTCCCTGACTTCAATACACCCGTAGCTCTCCAATGTCTCTTCTTATTGTCCATTCCGCCACCTCTTGGACATCTATACCCAGAGAGTTCACATTTTCCAAACTGAACTTGGCATTTCCCCTCCCCTCCAAACCTCCCCTCCAAACCTGATCATTCACTCAATGTATTTTTTGAGCACCTACTTTGTACTGGGACTACAATAATAAATATATATGCATGCACACACGTGTATACATGTATGTACAAAATAGCTCTGGAAAAATACATTTAAAAATGACAGGGCTGGGTACAGTGGCTCATACTGTAATTCTAGCACTCTGGGAGGCCGAGGTAGGAGGATCGCTTGAGCTCAGGAGTTTGAGAGCAGCCTAAGCAAGAGCAACACCCTGTTTCTAATAAAAAATAGAAAATTTAACTGGGTGTAGTAGTGTTCCCGTAGTCCCAGCTACTTGGGACAGGAGGAGGCAGGAGGATGGCTTAAGCCCAGCAGTTTGAGGTTGCTGTGAGCTATGATGATGCCACCGCACTCTAGCCAGGGTGGCAGAGTGAGACTCTGTCTCAAAAAAAAAAAAAAAAAAAGACAGACAGAAAGAAAGAAAACAAAAAATCAAAATAAAAACAAGGGACGGCCGGGCGCGGTGGCTCACGCCTGTAATCCTAGCACTCTGGGAGGCCGAGGCAGGTGGATCGTTTGAGCTCAGGAGTTCAAGACCAGCCTGAGCAAGAGTGAGACCCCGTCTCTACTAAAAAAACATAAAGAAATTATCTGGACAACTAAAAATATATAGAAAAAATTAGCCGGGCATAGTGGTACATGCCTGTAGTCCCAGCTACTCGGAAGGCTGAGGCAGTAGGATTGCTTGAGCCCAGGAGTTTGGGGTTGCTGTGAGCTAGGCTAACGCCATGGCACTCACTCCAGCCAGGGCAACAGAGTGACACTCTGTCTCAAAACAAAAAACAAAAAACAAAAAACAAGGGACATAGGGCAACTTTTGGAGGTGATGAATGTGCTTATTACCTTGATTGTGGTAAGGCTAACATGAGTGTATACATATTTCCAAACTCATCAAATTGTGTATATTATGTGCAGTTTCTTGTATGCCAATTACACTTCAATGAAGCTGAAAAAAAAAAAAGGAAGAAAGCTGTGCAGGGCTGTGCTGGGAGAGGGATACTCTGGAGTAATTTAAGAATGGGGAAAGATGATGGGAAATAAGAAAGGAGTTTCAACTTTAAAAAACCTTCTGCTCTGCTTCTCTTCTGTGTTTCCATCTTAAAGGATGGGAACCTGGCTGTCACTCTTGATTCTTCCCTCTCACCTCTTTCTAGCCCATCAGACACCAAGTTTAGTAAATTCTACCTCGTAACTCTGGGTCCCTTCTCATTGCCCTTCCCTTAGTCAGGCCACATGATTCACTGTCCCCAGTCTGACCTCACAGTTCTCTTCCCTACCCCAAGCCTCTGATCTCTGTCTTTTACTGCAGGGTATATGGGAACAGAAACAGGGCAGGGAAGGACACGGTTGGCCCAGTGAGCTTTCGCTGTGTGCCAGAAAATCTCAGCGGTATATGAGCATTTATTCCCATGTCCCTGGGTCTTCGGGTTGGCTGTCAGTTAGCTAATGTAAACTGGACTCGGTGAGCAGCTCTGCTTCTGGCTGTCAGTCTGGCTCAGCAGGGCTCAGGTCTGTTTCTCATGTGTCCATTCTGGGGACCAGGCTGCAGGAGCAGCTTCAAAAGAGAAGATTCTCCCTCTTGGTTTGGGTTCCAAGGACTTGGGTACAATGAGCTTCCTTGTAAGGTGGTCCAAGGAAATATAAGTGAAGGAGTGGCAGAGTTAGACAGAGAAAAGAAAAAAGCCAATAAAAAGTGTGTTAATGAGCACGTAACCACTGTTGTCAACTGGGGCTTAGTCCTACTGGGGATCTTCTGTGGGACAGAGAATCTGATTCCATCCCTCACTGGTTGAAGATTGTCCTTGGGAACATTAAATCCTCTGCACTTTTGGGCTGCCCTGTGCTGGCAACAGGCAGGCTCCCAGGGCGATGGAGAAAGCCTCCGACACAGAAGCACATGAGGCACTAGAGGTGGGAGGCTGGTGGCCTGTGTGAGAACTATCCACTGCATGTGGACTCGAAGGTGCGCTCAGGGGATACAGATTGAGGAATTGGTGGTGTCGGGTACGCTCTCTCTCCCCCTGCATCCACGTATCACATCTCAGGGAAGGCTCTGATTGGCCTTGCTTGGGTCACGTGCTCACCCCCAGCATGCATAGAGTGGGGAAAGCCCCGCCTGAACCCATGGACTGGATTCTCCACAGAAGAGCAAGGATCTACTTATAGCAGCTCAGGCTTCTTTGGTGGATTCCAAGAGATTACAGAGAAGAGTTCAAGCAGTGTTTTGCTGCCACATATTCTGCCCAGTTAGCTTTCCATCCTGGAATGGGGAGGGGTGTCTCATGCTTTACATCCCATTGTGGTGCCATTTTCATTTCTATATACTGTGTGCTTCCTCTGGTTAGCTTGTCATTTAAATGCTACTCCTGCCACAAATCTGTTTTAGTTAGGCTCTTTTGGTTCCTTTTTTTTTTTTGAGACAGAATCTCACTCTGTTGCCCTGGCTAGAGTGAGTGCCGTGGCGTCAGCCTAGCTCACAGAAACCTCAAACTCCTGGGCTAAAGCGATCCTACTGCCTCAGCCTCCCGAGTAGCTGGGACTACAGGCATGCGCCACCATGCCTGGCTAATTTTTTTCTATATATTTTTAGTTGTCCAGATAATTTCTTTCTACTTTTTTTAGTAGAGACGGGGTCTCACTCTTGCTCAGGCTGGTCTCGAATTCCTGAGCTCAAACAATCTGCCCGCCTCAGCCTCCCAGAGTGCTAGGATTACAGGCATGAGCCACCGCGCCCAGCCTTTTGGTTCCTTTTGTAACATGCATTACACACTGCTTCAAATTACACACTCCAAGGCCATCTCCACTTCAAAAGAGCTTAAAGAACTAGGGATATGGATTTTGTTGTTATTGTTCATAATTTTACCTTCAGTGACTGACAAACTACAGATGCTCAACAACAACAAAACTATGGAGTGAATGAATAAGCAGGTTTTGAGGGAGAGAAGATAATGCATCCAGTTTTGGACATATTGAATTTGGTAAAAACTACTGCTAACCCCAGTGCCCAGAGAAGCTCATACCTTAAATTTAAGTTGTATATTGGCGATTATAGGATCTTAGAGTTGAAGACTGGTAAAATTATAGACACATAGAGTCCCAGTGTCTTAGAGTCACTGAACTATCAAAACTGAGGTCCCCCCAGAGCCAGAGGGGATGATAGAGCAGGGATGCTTAACCTAAATGAGGTTGGGGGCAGAGGCATAACCACCCTGAAATTTATATAACATTTGTGTGAGGGTGCATATGTTCATTTTCTGAAGGGAGGTTTCAGCTTTCATCAGATTCCAAAAGATAAAGAACCACTGACTATTAGCATTTCTGTAAAAGAAAAAAAACAGAAATACCTGTGAATTTGCTTTTATATGCTCAGATTTGGGAGGATACGTAAGAAAATGAGAGCACTGGTTGCCTCGGAGGACATGAGGTTGGGGTTGGGGAACTGTTGAAAGCCTTTCACTGTATGGGCCATTTAAATTTTGAATAATGAAAATGTACTGCCTTTTAGAAAGTTAAATTTTAAAACTTTAAAAAAATTAAAATTTTAAAGTTATGATTGATCCTGTTCTGAAACAGAGATGTAAATTAAAAAGTAGGTATCATTTGTGCCCACCAGTTAAATAAAAATTTAAAAGAGATCAATAATATTCAGCATGAGCAAAGATGTGAAGAAAAGGGTACTCACATTCATTGCTGGTGGGAGGGAAAACTAGTACCTCTCAGACTGGCAGTTTGGCAGTGCCTATCAAAATAAAAAATATTCGTATCCTTTAAATGTCATTTTACTTCTTGAAATTTTTCTATAGAAATATGTACACAATTAGAAAAGAATGTATATATATGAATATTCACCGTAGTAGTATATATAACATTTAAAAATTAGGAAAAAACCTAAGTGTGTATCTGTTCTGAAAGAGTTAAATAAATTATAGTTTAATTATATCATGAAATATACCATGCTGCTATTATAATGAATGAGGTAGATATCTATGTACTGACTCGGAAGGAAGTCCACGATACATCGTTCCCTGGGGAAGAAGGGTTACAGAATGTGTATGTGTAAGCGTGCTTCCTTTTTCTTTTTGAAAAAATAACAATAAAAACCAAAACAGGCCGCATACCTGAAACTATGTGTCTAAATATACATTTCAATGTTATACTATTTGTATATGCTTAGAAAAAGGTCCCAAAGGACACGGCTATCACAGGTCAGTGCGCCCCCTCCAGCCCCCCGCTGGCAGGTGTGGGTGTGAGAGTGGGGAGGGGATGTGGAGAAGGCAGAGACGACAGTGGACTTGGACTTTGATTCACACGCTCTTCCTCCCCCACCACAAGCAAGCATTACCTTGTAATAAAAATAAACAGGAAAAAAAAAAGCCCCAGTAGCAGCAGTAGCGCTGACTTAGAAACCGTCTGTTCCAATCCTGACCCTGACCCAACGCCTGGACACCTCCTTGGAGCCACTTTGGCCCTCAGTGTGGCTACCCACAGGGTACAGGACACTTGTGGTTCCCTCGGCTTCCCTTGAGGAAGCAGATGCCCTCTGTACTCTCCCCTAATCCCTCTTTCCCCAGCACCCTGGGAGTTTTTTGTTTCGTTTTGTTTTGAGACAGAGATCCTCTCGCCTCCGCCTCCCGAGTAGAGGGGTTTATATCTGTCCCTCCCTAGAAGCAGTCGAGGGCTTGGAAGAGGTCTCATCCACAACAGGACTGCAGGGAGAGAGGGGTACCCCCAGACCCCAGGCCCTGCTCCAAGACTGTCCTCAGAGTCCTGCTATAGCTGTTACCAGCTGACCACTCCTGGATCTGCCCCTATGCTGCCCCCCCTCCCGTGAAGTGGAGCCTAGACCTCTCACCGTGGCAGTCCCTTCACGACTGGCCCAGTCCTGCCAGCTCTGCCAGACCAGATGACAGTCTTTCCCTCTGTACATCTTCAGAGTTCCTACCTCTAATACCTTTGCTTTCTCCATTCCTGCTGCCCAACACTCCTTTCCCACCCCAAATCCCTATCTCCCACTCTCCCACTCTCCACTTGCTGACATTTTTTTCTCCTATTCATTGTACAAGACTCCGTTCATGTGTCACCTCCTCCAGTAAGTCTCCCATGTTCACTCCGGCAAGAAGGGTCCTCTCTCTCTCTTCTGAGCCTCCATATCTACTTTGTGACTCTGCTGGGAATGGTGCAGACGAAATGTCAATTAATTTTTATGAAACTATACAGATTAACATTGCAATTTTCCAGATGAGGAAACTGAGACCCAAAGAGAGACAGCAACTGGCCCAGGGTCACCTCCAACATGCAGATGCCTGCCATGATGTCTCTGCTACTTGTTGCCGTGGGCTTCGTGGAAGTCCTTCAGGTATGGTCATCTTCCACTGCCCCCGTCCTGGCAGGGAGCTGAGCTATTGGCTTCTTCTGAACTCTAGAGGGAGGAAAGAATGCCTGATACTTCCCCTGGGGATGACTCAACCCTAGGGGACAGCTCCAGACACTGGTCTTGGGGAACTTGCAGCCAGTTGTTCCCAATCCCCCTCCCCTGCAGGTCTGTTTGAGGCCCTTAGTGCCTTTCTCAGCAGTACAAGCCCCCCTCAGTGGAGGGGAGAGCTGGGTGGCAGAGGTCCCATTCTCCCAGGGCCTGTCCTCTCAGTCCTTGCCGCTCCTGCCCCCTCAGGCCCAGAGCCACCCCATCCAACGACGAGACCTCTTTTCTCAAGAAATGCCCCTGGACATGGCCTTGGCCTCCTTTGATGACCAGTACGCTGGCTGTGCCGTAGCCATGACAGCTGCTCTACCACATCTCAACCACACAGAGTTCCAGGCCAACAAAGTGTATGCAGATGGCTGGGCACTGGCAAGCAGCCAATGGCAGGAGCGTCGGGCCTGGGGACCAGAGTGGAGCCTCAGCCCTACACGTCTGCCCCCGCACCCCCCAGGCTTCCGCGATGAGCATGGGGTGGCCCTCCTGGCCTACACAGCCAACAGCCCCCTGCACAAGGAGTTCAACGCAGCTGTGCGTGAGGCAGGCCGGTCGCGGACCCACTACCTCCAGCACTTCTCCTTCAAGACACTCCATTTCCTGCTGACCGAGGCCCTGCAGCTACTGAGCAGCAGCCAGCGTCTGCCCCGGTGCCGCCAGGTGTTCCGCGGGGTGCATGGCCTGCGCTTCCGGCCAGCAGGGCCCGGAGCCACTGTAAGGCTGGGCAGCTTTGCCTCCGCGTCCTTGCAGAATGTTGCAGCCCAGAATTTTGGTGAGGATACCTTCTTTGGCATCTGGACCTGCCTTGGGGCCCCTATCAAGGCCTACTCCTTCTTCCCTGGAGAGGAAGAGGTGCTGATCCCCCCATTTGAGACCTTCCAGGTGATCAATGCCAGCAGACCGGCCCAGGGCCCTGCCCGCATCTACCTCCGGGCCCTGGGGAAGCGCAGCACATACAACTGCGAGTACATCAAAGGTGAGGAGGGCGCGCACGCGTCAGCACCTGCGCAGGTGGGCTTCCCCCACCCACGAAGGCCTCTGACAAACCCAAGCCCCCACCCCCTAGGCTGAAGGCACACACATAAACTCCACCAGCAGGTGGGAAGGACCCAGTCATGTCCGCCAGCCCCCACCCTTCCATCTGAGGGGAGACGTGACCTTCTGAAGGTTATCTAAGCCAAAGCTGGCCACTTGCCTGCTGGCAGGCTGAAGAGGGTTTCCTGACCAAGGCAAGGGCCTTTGGCCATTTGAGGGGGCAAGCAGCACTGGGCAGACTTTTCTCCTGGCTGGAAGCTGGAAGGGAATCATTTTCCAGCCACAGTATTGACACCTAAACCACTTTTGCCAGAAATGAGCATGAGCCCCAACCTCAGTTCCCAAGAAGAGTGCATTTATTAGATGGAATAGGAATTATGTGCTTTGGTGTATGCTGGGCAGAGGTGGCGGGGGGGGGCAGGGGAGGTGAGACAGCAGCCGGGTGCTGTGTCCCCAAAGCCCAGTTCAGGCTGTGGTCAGGCAGGTGTTGGATTCTCCTCCTGTCCATCCCCCAGTGAAGATGGGCCCAGGTTCTTAATCTCTGAAGGGGCTGTGGGCTGCTGTTCCCAGCCGAGGGAGGCCCAGTTTTCACAGCTAGAGGCAGGTAGCTGGCCAGACTGTGACCACAGATAAAATGGGATTAAGGTCTCATGTGGCTTCAGTTCCCACCGTGGACAGCATCAGGAGTGTGCGTGAGTTCGGGGAAGGTGAGGAAGACATGCAAGGAACATAAACCGGCCCCTCCTTGGCTGGAACAAGGCATGGAAGAAGAGGTGGGTGTGGAAAGGAGGCAAAGTCACAGGCCAAGGGAGCATAGTCCCCAGAACAGATCCTGGCTTTGATGGCCAGCTCCCTGCTCACGGTCAAGTCAAACCCAGTCAAGGGGGGTCCCACCATCAGGGAACAGAATTAGGGGAAAATGCACCAGTTTTTGCTAACAAGTCAGGGCTGGACCACCAGGACTCTGAGGTTCCTTCCCGTCTGGAGAACTGAGGCTTGAGAATTCTTTACTGTTTCTTTCCTACAGACAAGAAGTGTAGGTCTGGGCCCTGCCAGCTGGATAATTCAGGTAAGGGCTGCAGGCAGCTGTGGGATTCAGCTCGGGGATAAACTGGCTGTCCTGGGGTTGGGCCCCTCACTTGGATGTCTCTCTTATAAGGAAAACAACCTCCTTAATCAAACAAAGTCAACTCTCTGTCCCTGACCTGGGTAGAGTGACATCTGGTTGGTGATGCCCATTTCGTATCAGCCAGGGCAAGGCAACCCCTTGTTTATCTCAGTTTGGCTTCTGGTCTGTGCCCATGCCTGGTTCATGCCTTGGAGACATGGATTGCTGCAGGGTGCCAGGGAACTCTTTTAATCGGGCACCTGTCAGGGTTGCTAACCTCGCCCCGAGATGTATATGTGGCAGGGGTGGTGGTTAGGGGAGCAGAGATAATCTACCCCTCCCTTGCAGGAGAAGGCCACTGATCAGGCCGAAAGATTGAGGCTGTTCCCCGCAAGGTTCTCCCAGAGCCCACTGTCTCCGCTGCCCTCAGGACTCCCTTGGACCCACCTTTGAAGGTTGACTCCAGGCCTTGGGTGCTGGAGGCCTGGGCTCTAGTCCAGGCTCTGCACTAACCTTCTCTATGACTGACTCATTCTTTCTCTGGGCCTCAGTTTCCCTATATGTATCATAAGAAAATCAGACCAGATGATCCCCAGGTCCCTGTCATCTGTGACTCTTCTCTTCCCTTAAGCACCTCCTCTGCCAAGGCCTGCCTGGGCCACCACTTCTCACAGCGCGAATAGGCCACTTCCAGGGAAGAAACGGCAGCTTCTCACCAAGACTTGGTCTCTCTCCTCAGGGAGATGGTGGGCAGGAAGGGTCCCTGGCCTCCACTTTGTTCCCGCCATTCTCCCTTCCATAGTAACACTCAGTGTTCTGTGCACACCATGCCACTAATCCTCACCACACTCCAGTGGTGGAGACACCTTCATCACCCTGGTCTACAGATGACAGAACTAAGGCACAAAGAGGAGAAGCAAGCAGCCCTGTGCTGTGCAGCTAGTAAGGGGTGGAGTCCAGACAGCCCGGCTCTGCAGCCACACTCTGAAGCACACAGCAAGAGGCAACCGGCACTCCCCAGACAGCATCTCATTTCATCTTTCCTGCATTATATAGTAATGTGTAGCATCTATACCTCATTAAATAGTAAAGTGAGACCCTGAGACAGAAGTGACTTGCCCAAGGTGACAAAGTGAATTAGTGGCAGAGCCAGGACCAGAAGCCAGGTCTCTAACCTTGGGCATCTTCTCTGAGTTCTGATGATGCAATTTCAGGCACTGGAAAAGTTTAGATTTCTGCCCAGTTCCCCTGGCACCTCCCCTTCTGGGGTTTGGGCAGAGGAGCCAAGTTCGGCATGACCAGATCCTGCTCGGATCTCTGCTCCCTGCTCCACCCCACCCTGCAATGCCTCATTTGAGTCAACAGAAGGCAGGGGGTCACACCCAGTGACCACTGGAAGGGGAACTATGACTCTCATTGGTCTCCTCAACTCTGTCTACCTTCCTCCCTGAATTCTTTATTTTTTTTAAAGGCAGTCAAAATTTAGCAGTGTGGAGGTGGGGGTTGTATACCAACTTTAGTGACACTAATGTTAGTAAATTCCGATAACCCACTGCCCTGGGGCAGCCCCTCCTTAAATTCTTGGTCTCCATCTCCGGACTGTCACAGTTTGTGTATCAGTCTTTCCAGCTCACTCTGCCAGTCTCTCCATTTTCTATTTTCATGTCCTCACTTTGCTCCTAAATCAATCACTCTCTCTCTCTCTCTCTCTCTCTCTCTCTCTCTCTTTCTCTCTCTCTGTTTCTTTTTTCCTTGTAGCCATGGGTCAAAGTCCCCTCTCTGCAGTCTGGTCCCTGCTGCTGCTGCTCTGGTTCCTTGGGTGAGGGCCTTTCCAGAGAGTCCAGGCCTCCTCTGACCCATCAGACACCAAACAGCCCCGCCTACTGCTGCCCACCCTAAGGATGATGGCCATGTGTGTGCTTTAAGTGTCGCCAAGATCCCTGGTAAACCTTCCTGCATGGAACTCTGGGACCTTCTCTGGCAGCTTCCAGATCTGCTGTGGAGAAACAGGAGAGAATTTTGGAACTGAATCTTACCCTCTGAATAGAGGTAGGGGGACTCCAGGACAGGCAGCAACTCACTCAGAGACAGAAGGGACTTCAGCTCATTTGAGGGATGATGGGAGAAGAAAGCACTTGGCCATGGTATGCTGGTGTTACTTAAATGCCACACATGTCCACCTGGAAAGTTCCTATTCACTCCTCCAGGAAGCCTTCTCGACCTCCCCCATCGGGCTGCGTTAGGGGCCCTGCCTCTGTGCTCTTATGGGTCCCTAGATGCTTTCATAGACCACGTGTCTATATCTGTCTGCCATGTTGGACTGTGAGCTTCCTGAGGGCAGAGATTGTGTCTGAGGCACAGAGGTGGTGCCAGGAAATGTGTGAAAGTCAGAAAGGAACAATTATACCTGAGAACGGCTGGTCCCTGCACTGCCCCACCTTGGATGCTGTCAAGCTCCAAATGCCTGCGTGCGGGAATGGGGTGGACTGTACCTAACTCCAGAGCACAGAGAGCAGGACAGATGGAAGAGAGAGCTCTGGGCCCTCTGCCAGGATCTCAGTCAAATCCCACTCATTTTGTTGTCAGCAAAGATATAACTTGTGCTCTAATCCATGAGTCCTGAGGTTCTTCTCTCTAGAGAGACTGACCTGGTCCCCAACTTGCACCACCAGGGGCCCAAGGGTAAGACAGTACACTGAGGGGCTGCTAGGCACACACTTACTTTATTATGAGCTGGGGCTTTGGGGCCAAATGTCTGTACAGCGTCCTGCTCTGGAAACTAGACCAAGAATCCCCTTTCCTGAGCCCCTAAGCAGAGACAGGCAAGACTACAACAGCAGCTACCTAGGGAGGCAGACAGGAAACTTGACAGTTCTGTTTCTTATATAATAATCCACACTCTCCCCACTAAGAGCTCTAACACCCAGCATGGACATTTAAATCCGTCCTGCCAAAACTGTACTTTGATCTTGACCTTCTTAGAGTTCCTCCTCTGGAATTAGGGGAGTGGCAGGCTCTGTAATACCCTTAGTTAGGGTATGTAGACGATGAGTGCTCCCTCATGGATAGTGAAGTCGGTAGCTCTGGTCCTGAAGAGGGGGTGTCCCAGGCTCTTAGGAGCAGTGGGAGAGACTGGCTGGCCTATCAGAGGATCAACCACCTAGCCTTGGCCATCCCTGGCTGGAGGTGCTGTGGCTGCAGCGGATCCCTGGACCCAGCCCCCGCCGTCACAGGGCCTGCACCAGCACCAGGAGGCTCATGACCAGGGCCATGAAGAAGAAGATGCCCAGGAAGAAACGGTCCATGACACGGGCCAGGCGCTTCCAGTCCTCGTGGCGGCGCTGCGCAGCCCGGTGGCTGCGGAACATATTGGCAATGGTAGCTACATGGTGCAGTAAGGCTTCCTGGTGGCACAGACACTGTGGCTCATGGCAAGGGCCTGCTTGTGGGCCAGCCGCTCCCTCAGGAGGCTGGGGGCTAGAGGATGACTTGGGTGGCTTGCGCTGCCCACAGGGCTCCCCTCTTTCCCGCACGCACAGGCCCCGTGCCAGGTGTCCCAGCAGGAGGGCCCGAGCCCAAGCTGGCACTGGGCGGGCACTGGGACCACAATAATGTAGGTTCATGATAAGGATGGTGAGTGCCGTGGAGAATGTGACCATGGTCATAGTGGCCATGTAGTACTTCCCTGCAAGAGAGAGAGCCAATTGGGCCCAAAATAAGAACGTGTGGGTCCTGAGCTTCCCAGCCACTCTGCACAAATGGGAACAAGCCCACCATGAGGCACTCAGGACTCTCCAAGCCCAATGGAGGGAGCAGGAAGGAGGTAAGGGCCAAGTTCTCCCCATCCTTCATGCCTACAAGTGGGTTGTCAGAAGCTGTCCGCTCCCCAATTGTTGCCCTGGCCGCTGGAGGTTGCACTCGCACACAATCCATGAAAACTCACGCTCCCAAATAGTTACGGGCATGATCTGATGCAAGATGCTGATCCTTTATGTACAACTGGGATAACAAGAGAACCTATCTCATAGGTTTGTAGTGATGCTTACTTGAGTTAATAAATACCAAATGCTTGGGGGAGCGCCTGGCACACAGCGAGCACTCAATATGTTTTGCTTAGTATGAACTGGGGACAGCGACGCTTCTCCATCAAGGACTTTTTTTTTTTTTTTTTAAGACAGAGTCTCACTGTGTTGCCCCGGCTAGAGTGCCGTGGCGTCAGCCTAGCTCACAACAACCTCAAACTCCTGGGCTCAAGCGATCCTACTGCCTCAGGCTCCCGAGTAGCTGGGACTACAGGCATGCACCACCATGCCCGGCTAATTTTTTGTATATATTTTTAGTTGTCCAATTAATTTCTTTCTAATTTTAGTAGAGACGGGGTCTCGCTCTTGCTCAGGCTGGTTTCGAACTCCTGAGCTCAAACGATCCACCCGCCTCGGCCTCCCAGAGTGCTAGGATTACAGGCGTGAGCCACCGCGCCCGGTCTCTCCATCAAGGTCTTGAGAAAAGACCACCTCCTTCCCGGCCCTAGCAGCGAGAGGTGTTATGCCCGGAAGGGGCCTTCTCCTTTCCCCTCAATCTCAAAATGAGGCTGTGCTCCCATGTACCGCCTCTCGTGCACTGAAGCGGGGCCCCTCTTTTGATTCCGGCCCTGTCCTGGCTCCCTGCCCCTGCACTGGTGGATACCCACGCACGTCACCCGGGGAGGGCACGGGCTCTCCCCACGCCCAGCCCGCTCACCGATTAGCGGCACGCTCTCGGCAGGCGGCATGCTCTCGGCCAGGAGCAGCTGGAACACGGTGAGCGCCAGCAGCACCGTGACGCCGAGCGACACCTTCTCGCCGGAGTCTGCGGGCAGGTGGAAGGCGAGCGGCGCGAGCAGCGAGATGAGCACACAGGGCAGCAGCAGGTTGCACACGTAGGCGGCGGCGCGGCGGCGCAGCAGCAGCGTGAAGGTCACGTCGGGGTAGGGCTCGGAGCAGCAGCCGTAAGTGAGCACGCGCCGCCGCGCCGGCATGCCCAGCACGCGCCACTCCACGTTCTCCACGAAGTCGGCCAGGCTGGCGGCGGCGCCGCGCGGCCGCACGTCCAGCTGGTGCCCGCCGTGCGTCCACGAACCGAACGTCAGGCCGCAGCGCTGCGCGTCGAACGGGAAGGCAGACACGTCCACGCGGCACGAGCTGTGCGTGATGGCCGGCGCGTCCCAGCGCACTGCGCCGTCGTGCCGCACCACCACGTTCGTGCTGGCAGAGGCCGGCGGCTGCGCGTCCGCCCTGCAGGCAGGCGGCAGAGCTCACTGAGGCTGCCGTGGCCGTGGCTGGAGGAGCTGCCCCGGAGCCACAGTGGCCAGTGCGGACCCCCGGAAGGGGCTCTGTGACTGGATCCGCGCTAAGGCCACAAAGCCGCTAGGGGCAGCACTAGGATGGAGTGTGCCCAGAGAGGGCCTTCTACCTTTGGAGGCCTAGAAGGGGAGGCACCTGAAGGGCCCAGAAGGGACACAGATCTAGCCCAGGGCAGTGTAAAAATTCCCCTGCAAAACCTGGAGGGAGCTCTGGGCCGCATAGTGTCTTCCCTTGGGAGTCATCTGCAAAACTCGTGGAGGGGCCTCAGGGAAAGTATGCAGACCATGTGTTGGCTGGGAGATTGAGAACTAGTCAAAGAGACATTAAAAAAAAAAAAAACATACTCCAGAGGGCTAAGCCTTGGAGGAAAGAGACCCTTACATAGGCGCTTGCGGAGACCTGGGAGACACAGAGCTGGCCTGGAAGGGTGGAGTGTGCCATAGAGCGGCACTTGTGTCCCAGACATCTCTCTTGGAGAGACAGAACTGGCCCTGGACCACACACAGTGGGTTCCCAAGAGACATTAGGCTGGTTTGGCCTGGTGCAGCCTAAAGTGGGAGTGCCATGCAGGGGCTGTGAGCTCCTGGTATCCTGGAAGGGTCCTGGGGAAAGTTTCCAGGGTGGCATAGCAACCAGGTTAGTGGTGGGGAGGGTGGATCAGGCATATCCAGGGCTAGGGGCAACTCTGGTGAGGGGTAGGAGGGGAGGGCAGTACTTGTTATAGAGTACGATGTCTGGCCGCCACACAAGACTGCTGGGGATGCGGATGGCATCCAGGCCACCGTAGGCATCAGGGTCCCATCGTAGGTAGGCATCTGTCCACTCCTGCCGGATCCACAAGTACAGGGTCAGTACCTGGTTCCGCTCATCCTAGTGGGGGGCAGGGAATGGGCACAGATGTGGACACATGTATTTGCATACCCTCCCATTTGCACACACTCACCTGTAGGGCTCTGGTCAGCATCCACAAACCCAGCTTGCCCATACAGTCCAGTCCCACCCAGGCCTGACCTTGCTATGTGACCTTCTGTTCTCTGGGCCTCAGCTTCATCGGCAGTTATATAATCCCTGCTTAGGGGGGATTCAGTAAATTCAAGTGTGCAAAGTGGTGGGCACCAAGAGTTAGTACCCTATAGTTAGTAACTTTTATCATTGTTGTTAATAATTAACATTTACACAAAAAGGGTGGCGGCTGCAGAAGGTTCTGCACCCATTAAAAAAATAAACATTTACAGAAAAAGAATTGCTTGGAGGATAATCCCAGCCTCTCCCCTTTTTGTTCCTTGATGCTGTTACAGGTAAACACTCCACAGCTATACCACCACCATAACGCACCATGTCGATGATCTGGGACAACGTCACCTCCAGGGTCACATTCAGAGTCTGGTCTGTGTCTGCCACAGGTCTCAGGGCACTTGTGTAGTTGGCAAAGAGGTCCCGGAACAGCTTGTGAGCCAGCCTGCCCTCAGCTCCCAAGCACTCTGGGAGATCAGTAAGAAGGGTTGTCTATCTGTGACCCTAGTCTGGGGACCTCTGCTCACACCCTCCACTCCCAAGGCTGGGGCCCTATCACTTACTCCACTGTCTCAGAGCCTTCTGAATGGGTCTCCGATGTCTCCCTCTGTCACTCTAGCTGTGGCTCTAGTTCTCCCTGAGCTGCCTCTAGGGACGGATGAGGTAAAGGCCATAGAGTGGATTGGTATTATCTTCTGGAGCAAGGCTGACAAATTTCTTCCCCTTCCCTTCCCTTCCCTTCCCGGGACAGATTCTGCTTGCCCTGCTGCGAATGCTAGAGGGACCCAGATAGCCCACAGGAGTCCAGACTTTCACCCGGGCATACCCCCTGGCCCCCTCGCCAGTCTCTCAAACCTGTTTCTACTTCTCCATCTGCACTGCAGTTGGTTTTCAAAGCTTCTGATACTACGGGACACTCCCCCTTTCTGAAAACACACTCTTCCCTAGGCTTTCCTGCCACACATTTTCTTCAGTCCCTGACTTAAATATTGTTCCCCAGAATCCTGTCCTTGGCTGCTCTCTTGCTGCAGCTCAAGTTCTTCTCCTGAGCTCCAGATCCGTATATACTGCAATGTGCTCCTGAATTTCTTACAGACACCTTAAACTCTGTAGGTCCAAAATATGAACTCACTTCTTATGCTCCTGCTCTTAGCCTGTGTTCCCTATCTCAGCAAACAGCTGAGGTCACCCCAGTGACCTCAGCCAGAAACCTGGGAATTATCCTTCCCTTTTCCCTCTCCCTCCTCCTCCTGCTGCAATCCAACCAACCTCCAAATCTTGTCAGATCACTCAAATCCCCCAAATTTTGTTAAACATCTCTTGAATCCATCCTCCCCAGCTTGAACCACAGTAGAAGCAGGCTCCTCTCTGCCCCCGCCCCATCCCCAGGCTCACCTTCCTCTACCTCCCTCCACATTTCCAACAGATCAAGCTTTTAAACATGCACATCTGAGCAGGCAGTGGCTCCCCACTGGCTGCATGATAAAGCAGTGGCCTGGCCTTCAGGCCCATCATGATCTGGCCCCTCTTACTTTTCCAGCCCTATCTCTGGAAGCTCCCCCTTCAACGTCCCACCCCAGCCAGGCATGTCTCCTCTCCCCCTCTTCAGCACCCCTGTCCTCCATACTCCCCTCATAGAGAGCTTGCTCTCAGCACAGGTGCTGAGGAGAAAGAGACCATGTGGAGAGAGATCTGGGGAGGACAGGAATACCAGTGAGACCAGGAGATGCCAGGGCTGGTTTACTGAGCTTCATACCTGGAGGGAGTAGGAACAGGAGCAGAAGGCTCAGGCTGAGGTGGTGGTTCCTGGGCCCCATGGCCTGGCCAGAGCAAGAGGTGGGGTCGGTCTCTGGGTGTCAGGCCTCCTGGCCAGACCTAGGACAAAATCAGGCCCAGCCGGCAGGATGTTGCGGCCAGTACCTAGAAGTCAGAAGTAAGACTGAGATCTCTGGTGGGTCCGCCCACCCTCCAGGGAGCCCTGTAGCCCTTCTGGTTATCTGACCCTCTTATTTGTACCTGCCCTTGGATTTTAGTACTTGGTCCTTGGCATCTGTTGTTTCTCCTCTGCTGGTCCTTGCCTCTTCTGGCCCCTGCCCCCTTGCCTTTTACTGTTTCTATTTCCTTTTGTCTTCTCTCTGTAACTCTTTCTTGGTCTCTCAGCCTTCCTGACTCTGATCTTCCTCTGTCTGTCTCTTTCCAGTCTCTCTCCTTTTCCCTACTTCTATTTCATCCCACCTCTCCTCCTTCCTGCAACCCTGCACACCTGGAATCTAGCTGTGCCTGTTGCTCTCTCAGCAGAACAAGGGACAGGGACTTTATCAGCCCTGAGGGGTCTAAGGCACAGGAGGTGGGGGGGGCCTCTTTGCTCTTCTCATTAGCTTAATTGCAGGGTTGGGACACCTGTGCCCATGGCAACAGAGCAACTGAAACTGACACCTCAGGCCTCTGGGACCTGAATTATTCAAATGCTGTAAAGCAGCACCCAGGCTCAGATCAGGCCCATCCGAGGGGGTTGGAAAGTACAGGTTTGCTGGGGTCAGGATCTGTGGAAGACTAGGGCTTAAGGGTGTGAGGGACTGGGCCATGGATGGGCAACTGTCCTCCCAGCTCTGCCACTATTGCCTGAGGTCTGGAGGCTCCCTTTAGACCTGCAGCTCTCCTCCCAGTGAGGGACCAAACACATCAGGCTAGGCACCATGTGCCAGGCAAGCTCTCCCCTCCTGGTGGGAGTAGTACTGAGCCTCGGCAGAGCAGGAGGTATCCTTTCCTCAGAGTCCCTACAGCTGTCTGATCTGAGCCTCATTTTTTGCTGTGCCCAAACACCGTGGGCAGTGTGGACTGGTAGGGAAAGCATTGGCTTTAGAATTACTTTCAATTCTGTCTTAGGAGTTGTCTGACCTGGGTAAGATATTGAAACTCTGGGTTTCAGTTTTCTCGATCTGGATAATGGGATTAACGGTACTCACCTTGCAAGTTGTAAGGATTAAATGAGATAACCCCATAGTGCAAGGCAAGGGTCTACCAGAGTGGCTAAGGTACAGCAGGCAGTATTTACACTATGGTCGCAGTGAGTTAGTCAGGATATCTTTAGGAACACAAATTTAGATTCACAGGTATTTATTGTGCACAACATTTTTATTACTTTTGTCCAAGTCAGCCAGTTGCCTGACTGACAGCTACATATACTTCCCTGGCAATCATATCCACGGCTATGACTGCAGGTATCGTGGACACACCAGTGATTCACTTCTCTTTCTACAGCCACCAGTCCCTGGATGCTTATATCCAACCACCTTCCCAACATCTCCCTCTGGATGTTGCACAATCATTTCAAAATGAAATGTTTCACAAAATCCAACACCCATTCCTACTAAAAACTTTCATCAATCTAGGAATAGGGGGGAACTTCCTCAACTTGTTAAAGAACTACTACAAAAAAAGCCCCCTACGGCTAACATTATACTTAATGGTAAGAAAGTAGAAGCTTTCCCCCTAAGATCAGAACAAGGTAAGGATGTCTCCTCTCACCACTCCTATTCAACATTATATTGAAGTCCTAGTTCATTCAATAAGACAAGAAAAAGAGATAAAAGGTATACAGATTGGGAAGGAAGAAATAAAACTGTTTGCAAATTATATGATCGTTTATATAGAAGATCCCAAAGAATCAACAAAAAAATTACTGGAACTAGTAAGTGATTATAGCAAGGTTACACAATACAAAGTTAATATACAAAAGTCAATTGCTGGCCGGCGTGGTGGCTCACGCCTGTAATCCTAGCACTCTGGGAGGCTGAGGCGGGCGGATCCTTTGAGCTCAGGAGTTCGAGACCAGCCTGAGCAAGAGTGAGACCCTGTCTCTACTAAAAAAATAGAAAGAAATTAATTGGACAGCTAAAAATACATAGAAAAAACTAGCCGGGCATGGTGGCGCATGCCTGTAGTCCCAGCTACTCGGGAGGCCGAGGCAGAAGGATCGCTTGAGCCTAGGAGTTTGAGGTTGCTGTGAGCTAGGCTGACGCCACAGCACTCTAGCCCGGGCAACAGAGTGAGACTCTGTCTAAAAAAAAAAAAAAAAAAAAGTCAATTGCTTTCTTATGTGCCAGCAATGAACAATTAGAATTTGAAATTAAAAACACATCACCATTGAAGTTAGCAGCAAAAAAATACTTAGGAATAAATCTCATAAAATATATACAAGATCTATATGAGGAAAACTACAAAATTCTGATGAAATGAAAAAAAAGAGGTAAATAAAAATTCAGTGTTCATGGCTAGAACACTCAAAATTGTTAAGATGTCATTTCTTTCCAACTTGATATGTAGATTGAATGCAATTTCATTCAAAATCACAGCAAGTGATTTTATGGATATCAACAGATTCTGAAGTTTATATGGAAAAGCAACAGACCCAGAATAGCCAATACAATACTGAAGAAGGAGAGCAAAGTTGAAGGAATGACACCACCCAACTTCAAGACTGACTGTAAGGCTACAGTAATAAAGACAATGTGGTATTGATAAGGAATGGACACACAGATCAATGGAACAGAATAAAGAGCCTCAAAATAGATCAACACAAATATAGTCAATCGATCTTTGACAAAGGAGCAAAGGCAATTCAATGGAGAAAGGATGGTCTTTTCAACAAATGGTGTTGGAACAATGAGATATCCACGACAAAACCAAAAACTGAATCGACATAAATTTTACACATCTTTCACAAAAATTAACTCAAAATGGATCATAGACCTAAATGTAAAATGCAAAACTACAAAACTTTTAGAAGATGACATAGGAGAAAATCTAGGTAACCTTGGGTTTGGCAAATGAGTATTTTAATTTTTATTTATTTATTTTTGAGACAGGGTCTTGCTCTGTTGCCCAGGCTGGAGTGCAGAGGCCCAATCATAGCTTGCTGCAGCCTTGAACTCCTAGGCCTAAGTGATCCTCCTACCTTAGCCTCCCAAGTAGCTGAGACTACAGGTGTACGCCCCCACACCCAGCTAATTTTTAAATTTTTTTATAGAGATGGGGTCTTACTATATTAAAGAACTATTAAAATCTCAAGAAAACAAACAATCCAGTTACAAATTTGGACAAAAGATACACATGGAAGAAGATATACGGATGGCATTAATGGATTAACAAAATATGGAATATCCAGAAAATGGAATATTACTTAGCTATAAAAAGTAATGAAGTACTTTAACACGCTACAACATGGATGAACCTGGGAAACATTATGCTAAGAAGCCAGACTCAAAGTCCCCATATTGTATTTCATTTATGTGAAACATCCATAAATAGGCAAACATCCAGTGCATGGGGGTGGAGGCAAATTGGGAATAACTGCCAACAGAAATGGGATTTACTTAGGGAGGAATGGAAATGTTTTAGAACTGGTGGTGTTAGTTGCACAATAGTGAATGTACTAAAACCCACTACAGTGTACACTTTAAAATGGCGAACTTTATATTACGTGAAGTATATCCCAATTTTTAAAGTGCTACAAAACTTTTGAAAAATAGATAAAGAATTTCTCAAAAAAGATATACAAGATACACATTTCTCAAAAAAAGATATACAAGTGGCCAATGAACACAAAACGAGATGCTCAACATTGTTAGTCATCAAGTGTCTTTGTGCATTTGGGCTACTATAACAAAATATCGCAGACTGGGTAGCTTATAAACAAGAGAAATTTATTTCTCAGTTTTGGAGCCTGGTAAATCCAAGATCAAGATACCAGCAGATTCAGTGTCTGGTGAGGGCCTGTTTCCTGATTCCACAGATGGCACTTTTCTGCAGTGTCCTCACATGGTGGAAAGGGCAAGGTAGCTTTCTGGAGCCTCTTTCATAAGGGAATTAATCTCATTCATGAGGCCTCCACCATTATGACCTAATCATCTCTCAAAGACCCCACCACCTCACGCCACCACATTTGTGATTAGGTTTCAACATACGAATTTGGGGATGGGGGCACAAACATTCAGACCATAGCACCAGAGAAACGCAAATCAAAAAGTACAATCAGATACTGAGCTTCACATCCGCTAGGATGGCTGTAACCAAAATGATAAACGGTAATAAGTCCTGGTGAAGATTTGGAGAAATCAGAACCCTCATATGTTGCTAGTGAGAATGTAAATTGGTGCAGCCACTTTGGAAAAGTTTTGCATAGACTGAGTTTCCGTATGTCCCAGCAATTTCACTTCTAAGTGAAATGAAGAAATGAAAATACATCCACACAGAAACTTGTACCAGTATGTCCATACCAGCGTTGTTTACAGTAGTCACAAAATAGAAACATGGAAACAATACAAATGTCATTCAAATGATGAAAAAATGGGCAAGTGGTGTGTGCCTGTAGTCTCACCTACTCGGGAGGCTGAGAGAGGAGGATCACTTGAGCCCAAGGGTTCAAGGCTATAGTGTTCTTGTGATCATGCCTGTGAAATGCAATTGCACTCTGGCCTGGGCAACATAGCAAGATCCTGGCTCTTAAGAAGATGTTGTAAAATGGATTATTACTTGACCATAAAAAGGAACAAAGTACTGATACACGCTACAATGTGATCGTACCTTGAAATATTAAGTGAAAGAAGCCAGTCACATGATCACATACTGTGTGATTCCCTTTATATAAAATGTCCAGAATTGGCAAATCAATAGATACTAGAATTAGTGGTTATTAAAATTTAGGCCGGGAAGATTGGGGGATAATGGCTAAAGACTTCAGGGTTTTATTTGAGGGGTTATGAAAATATTCTAAAACTGATTGTGATGATCGTTGCACAACTCTGTGAATACTGCAAAAATAACTGTATATATCAAATGGGTAATTGTATGACATGTGAATTATATCTCAATAAACAGTTACCAAAAAAGTCATAACCTATCATGAGTGAGAGTTAGCTGAAACAAGAAAACGACTGCAGAAACAAGAAAGAGATCACAGATATTGGACATGTTAAACAATGATAATTTGAATAGTTAATATAATTTGGGCATTGTTCTAAATACCTTAACATAAATTAATTCATATCACTCACAGCACCCTTTAGATACCATTATTGTTTTTATTTTATAAAACAAAAGGTGACCGAGACACAGGAATAATTCACCCAAGATTCCATAGCACATATTAATAACAGTGGACTTAGGATTTGAACATAGATAGTTGCAGTAATGAGTTCATCCCTTTCTGTACTACAACTATACTGACTCATTTAAAAACAAAATAGAGGTATGCATAATATAATTTAAGAAATAAGATCGATTGGCCAGATGCAGTGGCTCACACTTGTAATCCCAGCACTTTGGGAGTCCCAGGTGGGAAGATTACTTGAGGAGTTCAAGACCAACCTGGGCAATAAACATAGCTGAGACCCTGTCTCTACAAAAAATAAAAAAAATTAACCAAGTATGGCGGCACACGCAAAATAAATAAATAAATGAGGGAGACTTAGCAGAAATGCAATAATTGAGTTTAGGAATTATGGTTAATTTTTTTAAGCATGACAATGGTATAATTGTTTATAAAAACACATTTGTTAGAAATGCTTGGGTATTGATCAGAGATCTGTCTCAGGAATACCAGTGTGGGGTGGGTAGGAGTAAGAATGGGGGAAAACATGAAATAAGACAAGAAAATGCAACAGATGTTGAATTCATTACACTATTTTACTTGTGTGGGGGTGAAAATACAATACAAGGTTTAAGGCTGGGTGTGGTGGCTCACACCTGTAATCTCAGCACTTTGGGAGGCCCAGGTAGGGGGATCACTTTGAGGCCAGGAATTTGAGACCAACCTGAACAACATAGCAAGACCCCATCTCCACAAAAATAAAAATAAATTAGCCAGGTGTCGTGGTGCACACCTGTAGTCCCAGCTACTCAGGAGGCTGAGGCAGGAGGATCACTTGAGCCCAGGAGTTTGAGGCCATTGCACTCCAACCTAGGTGACAGAATGAGACCCTGTCTCTAAAAAAAAAAGGAAAAGAAAAAGAGTAAAACATCTACTCCAGCATTCTGCTGAGAAAATTAGTTATTTTGGATGTTGTAATAAGATTGTAGATTATACAGCAGTTGAGTCTTGAGAAAACTGGTTTTTGCTTTATATTTTTGAGAAATTAAAACGTATTTTTCTTTTTATTTTCATGGGATTTGGAGATGTAGAAGAGATTGTTCATCACTTTTACCTTGAACTGGAAGTCTGTTCTCTATCATGTCACATGGCTTCTGTGATAAACATTTGATTGAGAGCCTTTCTTAATATAAAGAAAATAATACTTGCTCTAAGAGGAAATATTGCACAAATTCACAATTCTTATCACTGTTAAAGGATAACCATTTCTATGCACACTCACTTATTGAAAAACTCCTCTGGTGAGGAAAGGTCAACAATTCTTTGCTAGAAGTCCCGCTCTGCTGTGACTCACTCAGGATCACACAGCAAGTCAGTCATGGAGGGAGATTCCCAGCTGAGTAACATTTATCCTCAGGGACCAGCCACAGGGGCAGGCCCACTCTGCTTTCTCATATCTGAATTCCCTGATGTCCTAAAAGTCTTTGGCTTAATTCTAATTAGAATTTGCTCACATCTTCGGTTTGACAAATCAAAAGATCTCAATAGTTCTCATGTTGCTCATTTGATACCTCTCAAAAATAGCTCTCTGTGAAGCAGCAACATCAGGGATCATTAACATCTTTATGCGAAGGAATCTGAGTTTAGAAAAGAGGTGTCAGCCAAGGTTTACAAACAAAAAGCACCAGAATAGAAGAGCAAGGAGGCTTTGCACGGTAAGCGTATTCCATTGGGCAATTTCAGACCTCCACTGGGAATCTATGTGCATAAATATATGTACAGTAGTATCAATCAATAATCAACTCCCTTGCCCCCAAATATGTCCTTATAAATCTAGTCTTTGGGCTGGTCTGTATCTCAGTTTAGCACCAAATTGTTCTCTCTTTAACCCATGGCCTGTCTTCATACAGACTGCAAATTTAAAAACAGGCTACAATCAATGCCATCATAAAAGATCCTTGGGGCAAGAAGGCTCAAAAATACAAAGGGAAAGCCAATACCAGGAATGCTATAAACATTTATTTATTTTTTTTTTTAAGAAAGTAGCTTCAGAAAAAGAGGAAAATAATCTAGATCATTTATTTATATATATATATTTTTTAATAAAAACCTTTACATAATCTTCATGCATAAAGACCCCGGGGTGGCCATATTGCCTGTGACAGCTCTAGCATGAACTGTCTCAGGCCATTACCTGGGGCTCCCCCGTAGCTGGCAGCAGTGTAGCAAAGGCCCTCTGCCTGCACCTACAACCCAGCTGTTTGCCTGCCTCGGTGATGGTTTTACTCTGGGAGGGAAGATAGGGGGTGGAAAATGCTTGGGGATTAATATGGGAAGAACAGGGAGGGATACCCAACCTGCCATTTTTTATCCAAACTCTTCAGGCAAATCCAGAGTCCCAGAAAGATGACTGAAAACCAGGGATGAAACTGAATTCTAGGAGCTTCCCAGAGACATGTGATATGTGACGAAGGGCTGCTGCACATGGTAGTAGGGAAGGTATGGTGTTCATGGAACATTCAAGGCAGGAACAAAACAAGCCTCGAAGATTGGTCGCTCAATGGCAGGCACTCACTGCTACCCTAAATGTGTTGGAAAGACCTTGTTGTTTCCTAATACAGGCCAACCCTCTTTGACTCGAAAATTCAGTGTTAACTAACCAAGCTACTTAAAAGACAGATTCCCGTTCCTCCTTTGCATAGTTCATCTGCTAAGGAAGGACAGTCCTAGGCCAACACATTTGTCCCATAAACTGTCTCACTTCTCTATAGTATAAAAGGGCTGGTAGGAGTAGGGTAGCAGGTTGGCATGGAGGGTTCCCAAGATCCAGAATGGCTGGGAATGGAAAAGGATTCCCTGGTTTTCTGGGGATTCTGTCAAGAATCTGCCAAGGGGCTTTATTGACCCTTTTTAAAAAGACAAGGAAAAAACAATGGTCTTGAGGATGGTAAAAGGAGATTTGCCTCCTTTTTCGGGTTCTAGAAGCCCTTATGCTGTATTCAGTATTAAGAAAAGCCCTGAACAACTGGAGGAAGGGAGAGTGGATTCCATAGCCAACCCAGAGAATGGCGAACAGTGCCAATCAAAACAATGCAGGGAACCTCCGTGTGCTGAGTGTGAACGGGCATGTGAGTGTGGTGCGAAGAGCCTGGGGCTCACTGGCTTCCAACAGTCAGTTCTCGAAGATAGGACTGTGTGAGGCTGCGCAGTTCCTCCAAGGCGTAGTCCTCAGGCATGGGGAGCCGGCCAATGTGGGGAGCCAACAGGCGCAAAGGGACTCGCTGAGGGTCTGGTGTTGAATCGGAGGTCATATCAGGAGCATGCTGCAGACTCAGTACCACCCGCAGCAGGTTGGCTACACGTTTGGCCATGTCTAGACAGAAAAAGTAGAGTGAGCACCAAGGATACGGGGTGGGGTGTGATACTCATAAAGAAGGAAGCAAACAGGCAGGAAGTGGGGAGAGGCTAGAGGTATACCTGACTGAGCTAGGCGATCCTTGGCATTGTAACACTGGATCTGCTCTATCCGGTTGCACAGTGAAGTCACTTTAGTGTGTAACTGTTCCAGCTCATAACCTGAGCAATCCACCTACAAAGCAGCAAAGAAACTAATTAATCCAAGAGGAGTTCTCATCACTCCAATCCTACCCACAGATTAGACAAAACTCTGAAACAGTGAAGTGAGAGACGGGAAAACCCAAGAAGCTGGTGCAGTGCCATGCAACTACCATCTAGCCTAGTAGTTGAGGACAAGGCACTTCAATAGCAGTAATTCACAACAGGAAGGTAACAGTGTACGGAGTCTTGGACTAGGCAAGTCTTGAGATCACGATTCATGAACCATGTAACTAGCAAGCATTAACGTGGCACCAAAAATCTAGATAAATCTGGATTTAGAGAGATGATGTGACTTATGAGCACACAAGTAGTAAAAAATGGAGCCCAAATTAGCATTTACTTTAGGTCTCCTGACTCCAAGGTCATAGCCCTCTTTAAAATACCACAGGCCCTCTTCTCACCCTATATATTCTCCCTATGTGTTGTGATCTACTTCCGTGACTCCAATTTTGATCAATAGGCTCATGAGGCTGGGCGCGGTGGCTCACGCCTGTAATCCTAGCTCTCTGGGAGGCCGAGGTGGGTGGACTGTTTAAGCTCAGGAGTTCGAAAGCAGCCTGAGCAAGAGCGAGACCCCGTCTCTACTAAAAATAGAAAGAAATTAATCAGACAAGTAAAAATATACAGAAAAAATTAGCCGGGCATGGTGGCGCTTGCCTGCAGTCCCAGCTACTCAGGAGGCTGAGGCAGAAGGATTGCTCAAGCCCAGGAGTCTGAGGTTGCTGTGAGCTAGGCTGACACCACGGCACTCTAGCC